GGGGGGGGGGGGGGGGGTTGGATCAAAGGCACCACAAATTTGCTTGTAAACAATTTTCGAAAGAATAAGTCATCGACAGTCTTGCCAGTTGTGTTCACTTGCTGCTGGCGTTTGCTACCATCCGAAATACCTCCATTTTTTGTACAGAATGAATGCTATGCCAGGCCTTCCGTACCAGAGAATAAAAGGCTGAAACTTTATTGGGATGCCCCTTGCTGTGTTTTGCTTAAGGAATTTAAATTCAGCCTTCACGCGCATTTGGGTGTAGCCTTCACGTACACGTGAAATTTCAAACTGACGTTCGATGTATGCGCACCAAGTTTTTAAAGATCGCTCGTGCGGTCATTTACAGTTATACCATGTTCATAAAATTACTTACGTTAACATTAATGCAATTTAAAAAAAAAAACAACGTAAACTGAGCTAACCTCATAGACAATCACTGTATGGGTACGTACATCCGGATCCAACACAACCAGACGACCGTTGTGAACCACTGGAAATGTCTGAGTTTGGTTGATCAAGATTAGTGTTGTTCGACTTGGTTGACCATCAATTCCTACGTCTAACGGAATAACTGTTGGTGGTATCTGAAAAAAAAACAGGTTTTTTTATTTCTCCAGATACGGAAAAAGGCTAGCATGATATCCACTCATTCTAATCAGAAAAACTAGGATATTCAAAGAACAATTAAAATAGCTTCTTTTAACAACCTAGTCCCAAATTATGACAAAAAAAAACACCAGGTTTGCCAAGACAGCTGAGGAAATCGGCGTGCACTTTCTTAGTGATATTATCAGTACGCTCCCACATGCCAATCACAACTATCCCAGGTCCTTCGATCCTGAGTCACACATCTCCTGTCAGTATCTAGACCTTCAGAATCTCTTCAAAAAAAAAAAAACTTGCATCTGTTTCTCGCTTCTCAATCGTGATACTCTGCTTGAGTGTTAATTGCCCTGGAATAATGGAGGCTCGAACAAGTGGCAGGCCTGGCTGCGTAAAATATTTCTCGAAGAATTCACCTGAAAATTAAGCGAAATGCACTTGTGTTAATAACACTGAATAGAAATCCCAGAATGGCCCCGAGTATCGATATGTAAGAATTCGATGTTGGTGCCAAGCACTCGCATTACACGCACGAGCTATACTAAGTCTTTTAGTTTCGAGATGCATATTTTTAGTTATGCCCGTGCCATGCACACATTTCACTTTTTTAGGCGACCACCCCAGTGATCGACTTATCTCGAGTACCACTCACTGATGCGTAATGTCCAAAATTGGCAGACCCAAAGGAGGAGGAAGGGGAGAGGGAGGAGGACGAGGGGCCAGTTGTTTTAATGTAGAAAAATTCCTTCGATATATTATCAAAACGAGCGGTGGTGTCTACTGAACTTTACTTTCTTTTGTAATTACTGACAACTTTTGAGGAGTGGATGTCGAAGTGGATGTCGAAATCAGGATAGGCAACAAATTGAATAGACTGATTTTTAAAGAGTATTTTCCAATTTTAAGAGCTTTTTATTCATAATTACTAAAAATTTGAAAAGTTGCTCGATGTAGAGTCGAAAAGCCAGACGGCTTTGAATTGCATAAAATCAAGTGTTAAATGAACTGAAGTGAACTTCCACAATTTTTTGCAACTTTCCCAAAAATCTTTTCTAAATACATCAAAAATCTAATTAATCAAAAGCTGACCAGCCAGCGGTTCGCTTGCCGCTTCCTCAATTATCTCACGCCATTCGGCCAAACCAGCATTTCCGTACCCGTACCGTTTCATCAATAACCTGCAAAAGTAATCTTACTTCGAATTTTCGCTTCATTTTATTCCTCGTGATTTCGAAAAAAAAGTTCAATTTTGACAGAAGATTTGGTTGTACCGTAATGACCAGTCATACTGACCAATATAACTTCTAACAGAAAATTCCTCATTGGTGATTCCGCATTGGTGTCTACAGCGCTGATGTCCCGGTATCGAATTCTGGCAGTGTCGGGAGTGGCAGAATGTCCGTCTACTATGCCAGTCTCCGGGTTCAATTCCTGCCACTGGTCCACACTGCATCAGAAGCGCTGTAACAAAGCGTCGTTCTACCGCGCTGATGCCCGGGTTCGAATCTTGCCGCAGGCTCGACCGTGGCGCAGCGTCAGAACGCCCTTTACCGCGATGAATCCCGAGTTCAATTTCTGATAGGCCCTCTATTTCCTTTGACAGGATGCTTCACAACCCTTCTTTTCGGTCACCGGCACGAATTAACGAATGAAAGTAAACCCAGGCAGGAACGCACCAGGCTTGTCAGTGCGATCATGCATTTTTGCGCTAAACTTGAAGCAGTCAGATCGTTAACTGTACTATGAATGCAGTCGTATATTTAAACTGTGCACTCAAAATCGCCGTAAATTTGTACAAAAGGAAAATAATTCCCGCTGAGCGGTCGTTTGCTGAAAATCTTACTTTGTGCGCTCACTCGTTCACAAATTAATGAACAGTTTCCGTTTTTAACAGATGTTCTTTGATAATGACCAGCTGTCCATTAAGCATTTTTCCCGCCAAAAGTTTTATATGCTCGGAAGTGAGGACCGTGCATGCCTGGGGCTGGATTTGAAATCTTTAAGCTGTACTTCGGCAGGGAACATTCCCTCATAATTTCAGCTTCCCAGCTTTTCTGGTTCGCGACTTTGCAACTTCTCCGTCAAAACTTTTACGTGCCCGTACGTGAGTACGATGCGTAACTAGGACCTGAATTTGAATCTTTAAGTTGTACGTAGACAAGAAATTTTTTCTTGTCTACGTACAACTTAAAGATCGAAATTTTAGCCTGTCAAATTTTCTGGTTTTCGAATTAGCAGTTTTCCCGCCAAAACCTTCACATGTTTGTGTCTGGGTTCAGATTTGCGTGAAGATTGGTGCCGCGTTTCTGGGGTAGCGCCTGGCCAGGGAGCCCACTGGCAAAATCTCATAATCAAAGACTGCTTAGTTTTCAAGTGGAAATACACGGACAGACAGACACACACATGCACACACAATACACACTCACAAACATGCATACCTACCACGGGTTATAGCAGTATGGGTTTTTGCATTTGCATATGTGCAAAAACGCATAAAAATTATAATTTACTTGATCATTTTCGCCACTGTTCCTTGTCCAAACCCAAGCTCCAGCATCACGAAGAATGTCGCTGGCTTATCGAAACAACGTGAAATCTGTAATAATAATTATTTTTAAAATGAACAAGGAACAGTTACTTTTTTTCATGTACTAGTCTAAATAGATACAAAATCTACATAATATGATAAACTCGTGAAAAGAAGTTGTGCCAGTTTTGAGGTGCTCAGATAAGGATCAGGGAAGATGTACACTGTTTTTAACACTTTTTTAGTAGTTCGGTTATAGGATTTTTCGAAAAAAACACTTCTGAAAATCAGGAAGTGGACAAATTAATAGCTCTTAAAGGAGCATATTGTTCAGTACTTTTTCTTCTACTTTGTATTCCTCAGTTTTATCAATTTTACCCTCTCGCTGACTGCACATAAAGTTTCACTTTTGTTCTTTTTAATTACGGTAAGCTAAAGCGGCTGTGATGCTCAACACACACACACACACGAATGACACGTGTTAATTATTTCTTTTGGGGTACCATTGTGCTCATAATCCCTTCAGAAGATGAAACAAAACTTCAGGATCGATACCAAGCTGATCACCAGCGATGCAGCATTGGTCAAAGCAACTGTAAAAGTTGCTATCTTATTTAGCTGAAGAATGACTACGTTAAGTACACTTGATTAAGATATGATGACTTTAATTGTTATTACCTTCCACTATAGAATTTAATCGATCCCAGCCTACTTGGAATTATCCAAACATCCAGTTGTATGATTGAGATTATCCTGATTTATCTTTTTTAATTTATAATTAAAATTAAACCAAGAATACCAGGACTACTCATGCTATCAATTGTAGGTATCCCATGTTAGTAATGTTACTGTGATTAAAATAATGAAAATAAAAGTTATGAGAGAACGATGAAAAGGAGTAAAGGACAGCTGTTTTCACTGCAGAAGTATCAAAATCATCGAATTAGATGAAATAGTGTTATTTTACAGTACCGTTCAGAAAGAGGGATATTTTTTGTCCTAAAGTTGCAAAAAGCAATATTTTTGCTCGTAAAAAAAGCAAAAAGCAAGTAAAAAAGCTAATTAACAAACGTCATCGTGCGAACTAAATTCCGTGATAATAGTCGAATTTGTCGTACTATCTTTCAGGATACCTTCTCGTCGCTTTTCACCAATTAACTCATCCACGCTTGTCGAATTATCCAGCGATTCCGTTATCAGCCATTCGAGGTATGTACTCAATCCTTCCTAAAAGCACCACTTTTGTTTTACTGTTCTTAAAAAGAGGCTGACCACTGGGTGATGTAGCGCTAGTCAAAAGATATGGAAAAACTGCTACTATGTGCACAAAGAATTAACAAATTGCAACTGTAAGTGAATATTAAAAAAGTTAAGGGAGAAAAATTAAGACGGATAATCAAAAAAATAATTACACAAAAATGCATAAAATTACGTATTAAAAATTTTTAATAAATAAAAATTATGCATTAAAAATCGTATGTACAATTTTATATATAATTATAACTGTACAGATAATTATACATGATTTTAACTTTGTATATATATATATATATATAT